TAAATCCAAAACTAATTTGTCCAATTTCAGTAAAATGGTAGAACACAACTGTGAAGGTATTTCCATTCCAGATCAATCAACAAAACAAGAGGCCACCTACCAAGGTCAGCTACATTTGTAATATTTACCTTTGTAATATCTCAAAAAAACATTTTAAATTAAAAAAATCTACCAAAATAACTCTTCTCCTTTCTTTTTCTACAATTTGATTAGTGTTTAACACTTTCAGAAGAATTTATGGTTGCAAAAAAACACCACCAGCGAAAAACCAAACCAAACCAAAACAACAAACAAAAACAAAGCCTCACTGCCATTGAGTTAATGCTGACTCATAGCGACTATTGGACAAGACCAGAACTGTCCCAGAGTGTTTCTGAGACTGTAACTCTTCACAGGAGTCGGAAGCTGTGTGTCTCCCACAGAGCGGCTGGTGGTTTAGAACTGACATGTAACCACTAGGCTACCGGGGCCCCTATGACTGTATGGTTACAGGTACCTAAAATTCAGAGACATGCCGAACACCCTCCAGTTACAGGCTGGTAAGCAGCAAGTGTCCAGGGAAGGGACCCTTGCGGGATGTATGGGGTGAAGAGGGGGACTTGAGTGTTGAGGTGACTCAGTGTGGTGGTGTGTTTGGCTGTGTGGGTGCTCTATGCTTTAACTCACCCACGTGACCCAGGAATATTAGTCTGGCAGGGTGGGGACAGCAGGGATTAATGTGACTTTGGCAAATGTGGGTGTGGCTGGTGTACTCCTCCCAGCTGAAAAGAATTTTTAGTGTTGTCAAGTTTTTGTTGCTGTTGTTTTTAGTGATTGTGTTGGCAGTTATCTTTTGCAGGGCTAGCGACCAAGAATAACTTTAAGGAATGATCTGTGATCTGAGGTCAAGCTTGTAAATGCATTTTCAAGTTTTAGAAGAATTTGAAAAAGGCAATAAAAATAATCTCTGAATGAAGTGAAATTTTCTGTTGAACACAGAACTATTCGATTCTCATACTCATGTTTTACTAGATACTTGACTGAAAGCAAAATTGAAAACATTTAATAATCTAACGTATACTAAAGCAATGCTTGTCTGGGATTTTTCTATTAATAATTTAAAGAGGCTTTTTATAAGCATACTTATTCCTAGTAGCTGCAAACTAATTGGATCTGGAGCCTTTGTCTACTGGAGAAAGTGAAAACTAACATACAGATTAAAAATAAAGTCCACGCCGCCCCTGCAGCCCAGCTCCCGGGTGGGCGCGTGCCCTGTGGGCGGGGCCGGCTGGGGAATCGCGCCCTGATTGGCGGTAGCCAAGCAACGGCGGCGTTGCTGCTGTCAACAGGCCGCTCTGCTGCAGCTCAGAACCTGGGAAGACACGGATCACAGAGAACTGGAACGGCTGGACCCTTCGGAACCACAGCGTTAACACCCAGCCAGATGCTTTCGTCGCTCTCCCTCTTGAGCCGAAGGTCCCCCCGAGGATGGGAGAGTGCTGCGGACCCGGACCACCCCCCTCTGCCATCTGCCAGTTTGCCCAGTAAGTGTGGGAGGCAGCCCCTTCCAGCCGGAACCTCGGAGATGCTGGGGCCTCAGACACGCTCCGCGGGGAGCCTTGGAATTAGAGAATTCTTGGAATTAGAGAACTTCCCAGCCGGACTCCTACAACCTCAATTTAGATGTGGAAACCCAGGAAGCGTTAGTGCCTTGGCCAGACTCACATCGCTATGTGGAACTAGGGTCAGGCCAGGAACAAGCTGTCCCACAACCTCGCCTCGCCCACCCTGAGCTCTTGCCACGTACCTCACTCCCAACAAATCCCCACCCGCCCCCACAGTTGTCCAGACGACTCTGACTCTGGGGTATACACCATGTGTCTCAGGCTCGAACTGAGCGCCTCAGGAGTTTCAATGACTAATTTTTTGGAATTAGATTGCCAGACCTTTCTTCTAATGAGCCTCGGTGTGTGTAACCATTTGCCCCAGGCAGGACTGTGTCCCAACCATCGCACATTGCTATCTTACTGATCGCTTTGCTATAGGGAAGAGTAGAGTTGCGCCCTTTGGATTTCCCAGGGTTGTAAATGTTGTCGAGAACCGAAAGCACCATCCATGGAGCAGCTGGTGAGTCCAAACTGCAGACTTTGCAGTTATCTGTGTAAGCGATTATGCCACCAGGGCTCCTTTGTCTCTGCCATAAACTATTAGGAATAAGAGGACGAAGTCCATTTGGGCTTTGAAGGTAGTACGAAGGGGCTTCAAACAAAGTTCATGCAAAATTTCCAGTATCTTGAAATTGCATTTCCATGACTTTTTGGAAGGCCCCTTCTACAAGAACCAGGAGAAGTTTATTTCCAAGAAATGATGATAAATATAAATAGTCTCCAATCTAAGTAATCTGTATTGAGAGTTGTTTTTTTTTAAACAATTTTCTGTGCAGGAAAGGCCTTTGGCTCCCGCCCGTTCTTCCACAAATGCATGGTTTTCACAAACACATCACTGAAAATGGGTTTGGGTTTTCTCCTGTTATTTTTATATGGGCATAAAACTGCATGATTAATTTTAGTTTCCACTGGGTAGGTTCCTCCTGACCCCCCTTTTATCTTCTTGGGAGCTCTCCAGTTCTTTCTTCCTAGCAGCGACCTGCCATTTAAAGCTCTGCTATTCTCAGATTTTCTTTTCTTGGTCTTCCTTTCCCAACCATGGAGAATCTCCCTGACGTTTGAAAGTGCCCGTTTCCATCTTCCCGACTCTGCCCACATTATTGGAGTCTTCAGAATGATCTCAGCCTAGCTTTGCCACTCACGGGCAGAAGAATGATGGTGGGAGGGAGGTTAAGAATTTCAAGGGGAGCGTTGCAGCAGTATAAATCATCTAACTTCATCCCACCTGACATTCTTCCGAGGACAATAATAATTCAAAACTCACATAAATCACAAGACAGTGCCACATAGCTCAGATAGCTTTTTCAGCAACTAACAAGAATCTAGGAAGTTTGGCGAATTGATAATAAAGTAGGTAGAAGCTTACCAAATATTGAAGCTGAATTAATACACTCTAAGTCTTGCATGAGAGTTTTCACTCCCTTAAAGATTTAGTCTTGGAAACCCATGGGGTCAGTTCTCCTCTGTCCTATAGGGTCACTATGAATTGGAATTGAATTGATGTTATTTGTTAAAGTCATGCATTGTTCATCAACCTCTGACCATATAGGCATGAGGACTTCCCCAAAACGCTTGCCCCAAGACAGCCACGGAACATCTCTTGGGCGTTGTGTGTGGGCAAGCCCAGCAGCACAGGACAGCATCTGTAAACATTTGAAAACGACGAGCCAGGAAGCATAGTGAGCCCAGTTCTGAGAAGAAATGTCGAACTCAGAACCCTTAGTGGAAGGCAGTCTGTAGACTTATACATTTAGACCAAGCTGGGGGAGATTGACTCCGGTGATGGCAGAATGTTTAGGAAATGGCTTTGAATTGTGCTTCTGCCACTTACACGCGGGTAAGTCCTGAGCCAGTTCTTTAAGTTCTAGAAGCTCTCTTTCTGATTCTTGAAATGTGAGTGGGATAGTAATGGTCTGTAACTGATAAGGTTATGAACAACTAGTGAGATTTTACATATGAAGGGTTCAGCCTAGTGGCTGGCCAACAAATGAATGTTTCTACAACTGTTTCTGTTAGGCTAAAGGCCATAGAATGCAGACTCCAGAGCCAGACAACCTCTGTCATAATCTCACCTCCATCACCTACTAGCTGTGAGATCAGCTTAACCGCTTCCTAACTTGGTTTCCTCATCTATAAAATGGGATTGACAGTCGTTCCTCCTTCATGAGGCTATTATAAGGATTGAGTTAACATAGATTCTGTGCAATGTACATGCTCATATATAAAGTTAGATAAGTGTTTGATAATAATAATGGTTCAAATTTCTTATTATGAACTCCCGCCCCCTGGTTTGACGCCAACTGATTTCTGTCGGTGTTTGACTGAATCTTCATGTTATCACACTGAGACGTTCAGGGAAATCAGTTGCAGTTGTAGAAGTGGGAACAGAGAGCCTTTTCACTGTTGACGTTTTGCGTTCCAAGGAATACATTTAGATGCATTGCCAACTCTGCTACAGAGGAAAGCAGAGCATTCTGCTCCTCTTCCTAGTGATCAGGCTCTGGCCAGTTGTAATGAGGGGGTTCGAATTGCATTAGAGTTTGGCCACCCCTTTCGTCTTGTGCACATTACTTATGCTTAGGTGGGTCTAGGTGAGTTTGATATCCAATATTGCTTATTGACATGAGTCCATTTGATCCAGAACAGCATGCTCTATGAGCCAGACCATTTAAATTCAATTTTAGAATAATTTTTGCTTCAATTTGAGAGTAGAGTCCCAGAGAATAAAACATTCCGAAGATGGTCTCAGGCATTCCAGTCGGACTGGGCTGTGATCTGCCATTAGCTCCGAGTTGAGTTAGCCACTCCAGCTGTAGGACAGGTCTATTTCCTCACCGAACTTTCTCTTCTTTATCCTCTTTGGAACCAAAATGTCAAGTGTGATTATATTTGACATCCCAATGTGAAGAATGGCTGGGGGAAAATGCTTCTTTTCCACAATAGAGGAGCTTTACATTTTCTGATGGTAAAAGTAAATCTTGTTCTAGAAATGGTCAAATCATGCGAAAGTTCAAGCAGTGTAAGAAAGCCCAAACCACATATGATGCCCACCACACAGAGACAATGACAGTAAGCCTGTTGGCCTAGGTCTTGCTGGGTGATTTTTGGTTGCCTGGGTGTCTGCCCATATGGACATTGAGTTTTACGCCTATCTCTTAGAAGTATATGTGGATGTCAGAGTTGCTAACCAATACATACCCATAATTTTTAACTGGTAGAATTCTATTCTACTTCGTGAATGAACTATAATTTATATTAAACTGGTCCTCGGCTAATGTTCCCCAGTGTTCCTGAAGTTTGAATGCGACAATTGCTCTTACAGGAGGCTCAGCTGACTCAGACGCTCATTCAGAGATGGAGAAACCAGACTCATCTTCCATCACCTCTGAGCAGCAGCTGCAGGAGCAAGAGGGGATGGAGAACACCCAAATAGACTTGGCTGAGCAAAGTCTCATCTCGTCGGATAAATGGCTTCAACTACATGGGCTGAAGAGCAACAAGTTGACCTTGAAACAGATTTTATCACAAATTGGATTCCCACATTGTGAAGGTATAGTACTCATAAACGACGCTGGCTGGAAATTCCAATGACTTGTTGCATTAATTAATGACAGGCAGCATTAATTTTGAAGGTCCCTCCAAACCACAGGTCTCTAAGCTTGTTTTCATCCTGCTTTAGTGTCCTATCTCATCCTGTTTATTGGTAAGCAGATGGTTGCACATCCTCTCCCAATACGCGTACTTGTATCATGTAGGTGAATACTTGTCTACCAGTGTATTTAGTAATATGCCCTTGTGCCAGACCAGGTTGACTAGAGAAACAGATGCAGAGACACTCGTATGTGGAAGAGAGAGCTTTATATCAAAAAGCAATTATATATTGAGAAAACCTCCCACATCAAGTCCGTTATTCCGATATTAGCCCCTATGCCCGATATTAGCCCCTAGTTCATAAATTCCTCTTCAGACCCAAATAGCTACTCACAATGATGCCGAATGCAGGAATATCACAGGCCAGTGGGTGGAAAGTCTTGTGGATCCAGTGGCATTGTACGCGTCTCAGTGCTGACAGGGGTCTCCATGTGGCTCCTTCAAGTCTCTGAGCATGTCTCCTCAACAGGAAGGTGAAACAAAGAGAGAGTGTGGCCCGCCTCCAGGGAGAAAAAGAAGAGGTTCCCAGAATCCTCATGAGAAGGCCAGGCCCACAAGGAGGCATCGTCAGTCTGTGAGCTGATTGACAGGCTTCGCTCCACTCCTATACTTATTTATCAAGTTGACATGGAATTATGTAACTACCACAGCACTGCTGTTGTAAGTGCGGTTCCTTTGGTTCTGACGCACAAGGACCCCATGTGAACCAGAATGAAATGCCGCTCCGTCGTGTGCCATCTGCACTCTTGTGTTTGAGTCCGTTGCTGCAGCCACTGTGTCGAGACATATTTTCCTTGAGGATCTTCCTCTTTTTCATTGACCCTCTGCTTTACCAAGCATGCCATCCTTTCGTAGGGGCCAGTCTCTCTTGATAACATGTCTAAAGCAAGGCTTAGTGTCATTGTTTCTTCTAAGATGAAATTTTAAAAAATGGAAGTTACTTATATTTATCCCTGTCTCAGCAGATGCCTTGATTATCCCTTGGTATGAACAAACCTCTTCAGACATGCATTGATGAAGACAATTATCTGTGTGTGGTTTCAGGGAGAATATGCTATTGTTCTAGTGCATCCTGTCTTCTGTTATAGTTCATTTTTTCCTTAAATGTGCTGGTTAAATATTGCTTCTCAACTCTCAGGATGACTGACCCTCAGGGGGAATATGCAAATATAGGAGCGTATGCTTTTTGGGTGACATGTTCACTATAGAGGTATAGGGTCTAGGGACCAGGGATATTCAATATCTTGCTGCGAGAGGCAACCCCATCTAGCAGGAACGGTCCTGTCCAAATGATGAGTAAAACCTCTCTTGAGGAATTCTCCTTTAATTAAGGCAATCTCTATTAGTAGTATTTTACTCAGTAATTATGACATTAGTTAATTAATTAACAAATTAAATATTTATTGAATAGTCATTAATGCTAAGCTTGGGGAAGCTTCAGTCTACTTGGGACCCTAAACAAACAAGAACAAACCATCGTCGTCGAGTCGGTTCTGATTCACTGTGGCCCCATAGGACAATGTGATCTGCTCCATCGGTTTTCCGAGGCTGTATTCCTCATAGAAGCTGACTGCTTCATCGTTCCTGCTGAGCAGCTGGCAGGCTAGAACCACCACAACCCCGTAGCTAGTAGCTGAGAGCTTACCCGCAATGCCACCACAGCTCCTTAAATCAGGGGCTGCAAAAAGCTTGTGGAAAAATTCCATGATCTTTTTAAAAAATCATTTTATTAGGGGTTCATACAACTCATCACAATCCATCCATCCATCCATTGTGTCAAGCACATTTGTACATTTGTTGCCATCATCATTCTCAAAACATTTGCTTTCTGCTTGAGCCCTTG